CACTAAGCTTTAAGTGTTCTAATAATATTTGTTGACCATTCTAGTGGTGATGGAACTATAAATAATTCATCTGTTATACCAACAAGGTCGTACCACCACGGGGGCGCCATTAATTACTCACTAAAACTTCATCAAACATTCAGGGGAGCACTTAATCACACGTTGATTTTGGGGGGCAGCGCGAGACTTTGAGAAGACACAATCTAGCGTCAGATTCCCATCTCCATGTTGCTTAGCATTATGGAATACATGGGTCTAAGCTACACGGGGTTTCATGACTTCATTTATTTTTCAAGAAGTCTTAGTGCGACACCTGGTGTAGCTTTGATGTGACCTTGTCAAGTGCTGTTTACTTTGATGAGTGTGTCGCGTGCTTGCGCCATCTGATGTTTACTGTGATGTCTGTGACATCTGGTGTCAATTAGAAGTATCTATGTCATCGAGTTTTTAAATAATTGTGTTTATATATATACTTTCACATGTCAGACATTTCTTGATATTCAGTAGATGTTCGTATGCAATGAGAATGTCATGGTATTCAGATATTTCTAAAAATGAAAATATTGTTAAAGAACTAACAACTATTTAGTATGCTCACTTATATTTAGCATCAATGTGTAATTATTTAGACGTGTCTAAGTATAGGTCTTTGGGCGCCTCTGAGTCCAAACAGGTCTAATGGGTACCTGGCGTTAGTTTGGGAAAAGTAAAGACGGTTTGTCGTTGTGCTGGCCCCATGACACCCTCGTTAACCGTGGGTTATAGAAACAAATAATCTTTACATCATCTGCCCTATAGATTACAAGGTCTGAAAGGAGAACTTTTCACCTTACTTATGTATAGGTCTATTCTCCTGCAAACCTCGTACTCAAGAGATGTCACACTATTAGTTCATCTATGGTTGAGATCAACACAAAATAGAAATCTATACCAGACATACCGAAGCAAACATAAGTACGACAGTGTTAGCCTATAAATACACATTCAATGAACATTCAATACAAATTCAATACACATTCAATACACATTCAACGAATATGTTATGCCATAAGATGCAGTATATTTTGTTTGCGGCCCTTTCTGTTCATTGATACGACCGTGTGTAAGAATAACTGCGGCCCTTTCTGTTAATAGTTATGACATTTCGTAAGAATTACAGCGGCCCACCAAAAGAAAATTGTACTTAGAAATGTTATAAGTTTGAACTATTGCAACATTTTGTAATGAATTCAAATGTCGAATCATTTTCAGAAAATGTCTCGCAGTCACAGAAGGAATACACACGAGTATATTTCTTTTGGTTAATAGATGTTACTAAGAATGTCATAGAAAGGTGGGGGACAGTCGGAGAAGAAACTAAAGTGATCAAGAGTAACACACACTGGGAAAAACCCAAAAATCAACATAGCAATAAGATTAAAGAAAGAATACAAAAAAAAAAAAAACACACACACACAACAAGATCGAACTCTACTTGGTTTATTTTAATAACATGCCATACGGGTCTATGTGAAGTCAGTTATTATAATCTGCAAATAGGCCTAGTGGTTGGGGTATGAAACAGCAGACCCAGCGGGAGATTGACGATTTATCGACTTCAATATTGTACCAGACTGGGTTTATTCTGCAGACGTCAGTTTGGTAGGGTTAGGTTGTATATCAAAGGGATGTGAAAAGTACTAACCGGTGGTCACGTGCGGCCCGCCATTACAATTTGCAAGTTCCTCTTTCCGACTTTTAGGTCCCTGAGGTCCATGATATAAAACTCTAGCGGGTAACGTGTAACGTGGCTAGCACAAAGACCTACCAACTTTACTTTCTCCAACTTACGACGGTGACCTATTAGGGATCGGTGGACTCGGAGACTTTAAGAATCCCAAAGTTAAAATTCACAATAATCCTATAGATTTAGGAATGTATTTTCCCCATGTAGTCTATCTCTTACATTTCCCTCCTCCTCCTCCTCTTTTTCTCTCTCTCACTCACACACACACACACATTTTAGTTTTTCTTATGATAGTCTGCATATACTGCTGCATTTTATTTAAGATTAGTAGACGTATAGAATGAAACTACTTATTCATGGTTTCTCGGAAACTGTCTCTAGCACCAGTCTTCTCGGCCCATTCATACAGTCAATACAATTATGTCTGCCTATTAATGGAGTGGTGGGGAGCATGGGCGTTGCCAAAGGGGGGGGGGGTCGGAATTTTGTGACTGATTTTTGCTATGATTTTGTTTATTTTAGGTGAGATTTTAATACTAAACCATGACTTGCCCCAGCGCAGCCAAGGGTGTTTTTGAGTTTAATACCTGCACTCAGTAAGGGAGATGGACAAACCTCTGCTGCCTTGCGACTTTACTCTACCCAACAAATGGAAAGTCTTAGTGAAACAACCCTGAGGACACATCATTTTTTTTAAATTTTATTAAAAACTTGTACAATTAATGTACATAATGAGAACATTTAGAGAAACTAAGAAACATGAAAAACTTAAAAATACCTAAAAAAACATAAGTATGATTGTATCAATTTCTTTTAACATGCTGTGCAGCCATGCACGACTGTAGCCTAGATAAATAAATCTGTGCGATAGAAATATTTTTACCAATTGTTTTTGTTTAGCTTTCAGCTTTCTCAATGTGCTATGATCCTATCACTAGTCTGGACCAATTGTGAAAGGGGGAGGAAAGAAAGGAGTATCTTGTAAATGTTTACATGATCGTTTTTTAAATGCATACAAAAATGTTCACACAGGGCCAGGGCTCAAGATTACTCAAGGGGACTAATTAAACTTATACCACCACATCTGTCAAGTACGATTTCTTTCCCTTGTTCTAGATACAAAGCAAAATAATTAATTACGAATAGTTAATCAACTAGCTGGTTATTTTTTAAAATTGATTCTTGTGTTGTCAGGTTAAAAAACAATAATTGCGCAAAATTTCAGCTTAATCCTAGCTTGGGTGTAGAAATAACTTATACAGGCTTTTTACCATATAGAGTTATAGACAGACAGGGTGAGTTGATATAAGCCTTGTAATAAACTAAAACTAGAATCATTTCTTGGCGATGTTACTTTTATCAATCCAAACAAGGCAATGTCTTGAATACTTTATGTTCTCTAGGTCCTTTTCATTAAATTAAAAACATTTTTACTTCAAATCTATTAGATACAAATGTACTTCTGTGTATTGTACCATAAGCCAGGGCCAATTCGACCTTTATTAGGGTTATTAGTGTTAACAGTTGGCCTAGCCCCCTATATGACTGCCGTCCATTACTCTGATAGCGATATCGTTGCGATATTATTTTATCAATAAAATAAAGACCATGACTCGAACTGTATTTCAGTTTTAAAAGGAAAACAGTTTTTACTTCGATTCTATTATCCGAGAATTTCTATCTAGTTGTACACATTCACCAAACTCTAATGTCGCCATAAATCTCCCTGTCTTCGTATTGAATATCCTGCGATGTTTACACTGACCTTAATTGGCGACAAACAGAACCTCAATCATTCCTGAGGAGTAAAGGATCGCAAGCAAACATGTTTTAACATTAATATTTATTTTTATGGAAGGAAGCAGTACTTTTGTTTTGGCTACTTGTATTTCATGGCTTCTGATATTTTTGCTGAAAATGTTAAGACCTGTGTAACTTCCTGCATTGAGGGCTCAAGACCATTCATTGCAGGGCCGCTTGAGTTTGTGTTACAAAACCAGATACCTCTGCTTGACAAATTTTGCTCAATGTAGACAATTGCTTTCTATACAGTGTTGTCTGTAGACACTTCAAAAATCTCAGAATAAAAGCGTAAAGTTTGATCACGATGTTTACAAGCAATTTTGTGTGTGACGTATTCAGTTACAAAAACGTACATAAACCAGTCATATATTATATTAATTATATATCATGTGTACTTCTGTATCCAGTCATTTATTATATTAATTATATATCATGTGTACTTCTGTATCCAGTCATTTATTATATTAATTATATACCATGTGTACTTCTGTATCCAGTCATATATTATATTAATTATATATCATGTTTACTTCTCGATCAATCATATATTATATTAATTTTATATCATGTGTACTTTTTGATCCAGTCATATATTATATTAATTATATATCATGCGTACTTCTTGATCCAATCATGTATTATATTAATTATATATCATGTGTACTTCTGTATCCAGTCATATATTATATTAATTATATATCATGTGTACTTCTTGATCCAATCATATATTATATTAATTATATATCCTGTGTACTTCTTGATCCAATCATATATTATATTAATTATATATCATGTGTACTTCTCGATCCTGTCATATTATATTAAAGATATATCATGTGTACTTCTCGATCCAATCATATATTATATTAATGATATATCATGTGTACTTCTCGATCCAATCATATATTATATTAATGATATATTATGTGTACTTCTCGATCCAATGCTCCTACCGAAGTATTTGAGATGAAGGCGGTCATTCAGAAATCGGTTTCAGGCAAACAACTTAAAACATCCACCTGATTACTGTCTAAACAACATTGGACACAACATGTTTTAAATTTTAAAAATGTCTGCTTGATTTCATTACTATTTTTGAGGTGACGCGGCCAGAGACAAGAATATGGGGACATTTGTAGGCCCACGGGCTTAAGGTTAGGCATCACTAATCTAGAAAATCATTAGCCAGTATAGAATTGATGTGGAAATGTAGAGTAAGTTTTAGCGACCCCCCTCCGCACCCCTCCAAGCCTTAATCCGAAGGATTATGGAGCATATAGCTCAGTGGCTGATAACGACCCTCGTCCCGTAAGAAAAGCACGCGCAGCCTTGTAGTTGAGTAAGATGGAGAAAATTTGTTCTGTGGATTGTCCTAATTAATGTTTTCATTAAAAACATAGTTACAAGAAGTTGTACTACTGTTTAATTAAGTACCCAAACCTTCTGTTGGTGTAGAAAAAAATGTAATACTCTTTTAGTTTTTTATGATATTTTATTGACTATACATTATTTTTGTTTATGTCAGAATATGACAAGTAAACACGTATCTGACACACAGAAATACTTCTCAAAGTTCTGGTTGTCACATCTCGTGGAACAGTCTCTCCTCAATGTTGTCACATCTCGTGGAACAGTATTTCCTAAATTTTGCACAGCCCTTCCTGCTACATACACGTCATAACAAGGACACAGAAAACCAAAGAATATAACACATGTTCAGTACTAGTCATGTTCAGTACTAGTCATGTTCAGTACTAGTCATGTTCAGTACTAGTCATGTTCAGTACTAGACTTGTTCAGTACTAGACTTGTTCAGTACTAGTCTTGTTCAGTACTAGTCTTGTTCAGAACTAGACTTGTTCACCACTAGACTTGTTCACCACTAGACTTGTTCACCACTAGACTTGTTCAGCACTAGTCTTGTTCACCACTAGACTTGTTCAGCACTAGTCTTGTTCACCACTAGACTTGTTCAGCACTAGTCTTGTTCACCACTAGACTTGTTCAGCACTAGACTTGTTCAGCACTAGACTTGTTCATCCCTCTGTCCGTTGTGATATCTTTGTGCTGATTTTCGTCCCCATTACTCTCTAGAAATTCTGTTTCACTTATATCGTGTATGATTCTTGGTAGTTTCTACAGGAAATTGGTTGGAAAAAGTGACGTAACACTGTACTGCATGAAGAGAAGTCTCAAAAAGCCCAACCACAAAGATCCTGTTTGTGACAGTGGGTGTACAGTCTACAATCTGACATCATTAAATGTCTGTTATCACAATGGTAGCCAGTGAATATAAGCCTAGCCTACTTCTCGTCTGTTGCTGATGTCAATCAATATTGGCTTCTTCACTGACATTTTTTTTTTGCCTAAATGCTATTTTTTAATTGCATTTTTTATGGCATTTGAATTAAAAGTTATTTACTATTAGAAGCAAACAACTTTTATGTTTATTTCACACTCACAATCCTGTCCCTCAGTTTACAACCATAAGAACAGTTGCCTTGTTGCCAAACTTTATTGTGACTGTGTTACACCCCGCACTGTGCTCATCACTTCAACTTCAATTGGCAAATTAAAAACAAAAATCCAAATAAAGTTTTAAACTGTTTTTTATCCCTCCCATTGTTGTCCAGTACAAAACTATAATCCTGGAGCACGAGTGGAAACAAAACTTGAAGTTAGCGGTCTATAAGCTTTTGTATCCATTGGGCTGGATGTCAGTGGTCAGCTCTCGGCACTCAGTGGTCGACTTGGTATGGAAGGAGGAGACCTCGAGAAACCGACTGGTAACGGAGGGGGCGGCAGGGCCAGAGTTTTGTCCGTGAAGCTTGGAATAAAGTGACCGGGGAGTCCCGTCACCCTAGAAACGAAGGCGGCATGCTGGGCGGCCGCCTGGCTGAGACACATGGGGTTAATGGGAGAAGGTTTGATGGGTAGGGTGGACAAGGACCCGGCCTCTTGAGCAGCCGACTTGAGCAGGTCTAGATTGTTTGAGAACCGCGACATTAAGCTGGAGCTGAAGGGCGTCGAGGACAGGGAGGACAGTGAGGAGAACGAGTTGGCTAGGGAGGAGGACAAATCTAGGCTTGCTGCATAGGATGCCACTAAGCTAGGAGGCAGCCCTGCTGTGAACTGAGAAGCAAAGGGTGGAAGAGAAGGTGGGCGCAGGGGAGGTGCTGGAATATGAATATTGCTCGGGGATTTATAGTCTGGAGAAATTAAACTCTCAATGGAGAAGGAATGTTTTGTGGGCGGTGCTGGCGTGGGGACATAGGGATGATACCTCGATGATACCGCCCATGACTGATGCAGTCGTGCCCTCGTCGCAGCCTCCTGGAGGTACGCCGCTGTGTCTAAAGCGTCTTGGGCTTTCATCCCGACGAGCTCGGGTGAAGGGGGCGCGCCCCCTTGCATTTGAATCTGAAGCTGCATCTGCCGAAGTTTGAACCTCTTTCTTCTACGAAGGAAGCTTCCATTCTCGAACATGTCTCCGCACATGGGATGCAGCGCCCAGTAAGATCCTTTCCCAGGCCTGTCCGGGCGTCTCGGAATCTTGATGAAGCAGTCATTAAATGACAGGTTGTGCCGCAGCGAGTTCTGCCAGCGCTGAGTGTTTTTTCGGTAGAAAGGGAAATTATCCATGATGAATTTGTAGATGTCGCTCAGAGGCAGCATCTTCTCCCCAGAGCTCTGGATGGCCATGGCGGTCAGAGCGATGTAGGAATACGGCGGTTTCTGCTCATCATACGTATTTCTCCCTGGACGAGGCATTCTCTGAGGATTTCCACAAGATTGATTACAAAGATTTCGATTTAGATTCTGATATGCGTGAACCAGTCTATTTCGATTTGAAATGATCTGCCTTAGCTCAGCAGAAATATAAGGACATATTTCATTTGAAAATCTGAAAATAAAACAAATGGAAACAAATGTAAAACTACTTAAAGACCTACTTGTAGTAACTTTAACTACACAGACATTGTTTTTTTTAATTAAGCAAAACAAAATACATCTATACATTAACTGTTCTTTTGATGTGTTTACAACTTTTATATAGATTCTAATTCTTTTATGCAATAAAATATCACTGTGAATGGTTGTTAGCTCTTTATAAACGCACACACAGAGTGTTATGCACACTCATTATTGAAACTGTTGACCTCAAACGAGAATTAACAACAGATGAAAGAAAGACGGAGAAATAGCTTTACACTGTCCTGGTTAGGCTACTAGTTAGTCCCCTGGCAGGGCCGGCCTTAGGCATAGGCAGATTAGGCAGCCACCTAGGGCCTCGGTTGGCTGGGCCTCGCAAAGGACTACTGGTTAGATTGCCGGTTAGGTTACTGCTTAGGCTGTTGGTTTGGCTGTTGGTTAGGCTGCTAGTTAGGCATCTGGTTAGGCTACTGGTTAAGCTATTTAAATAGTATCTTCTAATTTATAACTTTCAATCAAATCGTGAATTCACGATGAGCAGTGAATATAGAACTTCTCAACTCTTTGAATAGAGAATGTTTCCTTGGCACAACTACACCAGCTAAGTCATAACTTCAATATTTCTAGGCCTAAATCATTGCTACTTTAGTGGTTTTGTCTATGATTATACTTGTGACCTTAGCCTTAACTATATCAGAGACCTATTACTATGTTATTGATTTAGAGAGTTATGTCTTTTCTATTACTATATCAGAGACTTGTCTATTGCTATGTTATTGACGTAGACAGCTGTTATGTCTTGTCTGTTACCATATCGGAGACTTTCGCTCTGACTTAATGTGACACTGATCTTGCTCTATAGCACTAGTTTTACGTCTCTTTCTTCCTTATTTGGAGAATAGAAAAAAAGTGGTGTATCAAACATTGCTAGTAAACTTTTGTTTGGGTCTAATTTTGTGTTTCTATCCGGTCAATTTTATATTTTTTTAAATGGGCAGGGGGGAGGGGGGGGGGGAAAGCGGCGGTGGATGAGGAAAAAAATTGATATCTATGCTGTTCACACTAATTGTTTGCTGTTTTTTATGGGTATGTTAGTGTAAATACAATGTCAAATCTGTATATGCGCTAGCTCGAAAAAAAAGACTATCTTGGTTTTGGCTGATTAACAAAGCTTAACCGATGGTTTAATTTTAAGACAGATAATTACAACTTTTGTCAATATTGACCTGGCTAAACTTTAAAAAAAAAAGCCAGCTAATATTAGTTGTGGGGAATCGATTCCATTTTTTGTGTGTATCACGTTGCCTGGGTATCAGTTTTAGAATCAGTCAATATTGTTCGGCTTGAAATCATTCTCTTTTTTTGTCCTAACTTGTGTGACAATCCAATGACAGCCAAAATTACATCTTACAATGAAGTCCGAAACGAAGGCAATGATTGGTTGGTCACATTCTTTCATTTGCACGAATATCGTGCACTTTGTCGTGGGCTCACTAGCAACTTGACTCGTAACTTTAACAGTAAGACTGACGTTTTTGAGTTCCATAAGTGGAGGCCCTAGACAGGAATTTGTGTACAGGATCCTACCCTGCAAGTTTCAATAGAAATGTACTCTACAATTTTAAAATTAAAAATAAAAATAAAAAAAGTTTATTTGTCAATTTAATCTCATTTTCCTATTATTTTTTTTTTACAAAGCTTGTATCAATTCACTCTGTGTGTCTGGTAAAAAGTGTGAACACGTTAGTTCCCCCACACTCATTCACGGATCAAGTTGAAACTTTGCACAATTGTTTAACTTTAAGTTTTATTTATGAAGTATTAAGTCAAGTTGTTATTGAATTGTGAAGTTAATTTTATGTGAAAGTTGAAGAAGTATTATTAAAGAAGTTTGAAAGAAAATACAGAGATGTTTCTTCACTTCATTGAATTATCAAGTTTAATAATATAATCCCCGGCAAATATGATCGTCACAGTCCTCTAAATAGTTGTACACTTTAGAACTCGCACAAACTTTCTCGGATCAAGTTGACAACGTTAACAAAATATGAATCAATAGTAAACAAAAATAACAAATTAATTATTTTGTTTGATATCGAAAAGGGGAAATAGATCTTATACGTTCTGAATGATAAAGCTATAGGCCTAAGTAAGAAGTTTTTCCCCTTAGATAATATATTGCTTCTTTTAATATACATATTTTATCAAAAGTATCCCTTTTAATGTGGAGGTCCAGTGTGGATACACAGTCTTGTAAATACAGCCCTCTTGATTCTGATATGTTCTTATATCTCTAACATTATATATATATAATGTGGCTTGTCTTCGAGTCCGAAAATTAGTGAGAGGTGTAGTATTTCCCGTGGCTGCGCAGCCCCATCTGTGACCTACTTAACTTGCCACAACCATGGCAAGCATAACCATTGTCCGCAGGTGGTCGATTTAGACCGTCTGCGTTTGTCCTCGGCAGCTAATTTTCTTTTGGACTCAAATGTGTGCCAAAGGCAGTCTTTTTTGGTGAGCTAAAAGGTGGTCGACGTAACAAAAGCCCCCAAAGGCTTCAAAGGCCAGCTTAGGTGTCAACTTTCCTTGGCTGACATAGAAGAGAGCACCTGGTTGCATGCGGCCTCAGAACGAGACAGCTGGAGGTCACTCACGAAGGCCGCGGGATATATATATATATATATTGCCATTCTTCGTTTTACACTTTAACATCAAACTGGTCTGTTATCGCCTAAATTACATGCACTAATAATCAATACCAAACATATATTTTTTTCAGAATTTCAATTATCTTCAGTGTGTTGACCATGTCAAGCAAATAAAATGAGTTGACAATAACCATGCACCACTTTGCATATGTTAACTGTAGAAGAACGCGTCGACACAGAACAGCATTAAATAGAACAAGGGTCGGCGCATAAGTTAGGGATAATGGGGCAAATAATGTCAATTAGATAACACTGCTGTACAGCAGGTTGTCTAGGGTGTTCTAAGACTGGGATGGGTTATTTAATGAGGGTCAGTGCGGGGCCGTTCGTTTTGCAAACATGTTGTTTTATCTTTCAAAAAGTTTTTTTTTTCTATTTGCATCTGCTTCAACGACATCGCTCAACACATTCGCAATACAATTTAATTATAAATTAAACAGTTTCCACATAACGCCGAGTGTTTGACAGATGGTTTTGTTTGCACAATAATGTGTAATTGATGAGAAAGAGATAATGTTACCAGAGGCGGATTTAAGTAAGTTGGAGTATATGGGCAGGATTTTTGTGGATGTACCTACCGTTTTAAAGACTTGAAAGAGAACCAAAAAAAAAAATAATGCCAGGTTAAATACACAAAAGAGTACTTACACATTTAATGGACTTTGTTATATTTAATACGCTTATTGATTTAATTTTTTATTTTAAAATATTTTTTGGAGCTTCCCT